AAGGATCATCCTGTACCCGCCGATCATGACGCTCTTTTCTACGTTCCGCTGCAATCTTCATGCGACTTCCAGCTCCGTCAAAGGCCACTTGAAGTCTAGCTTGATGGTCATAAATCCAGTCATGGACACTGCCCTGAGTAGGAGTCTCAATTCTACCCAAGAGGAAGTCAATAGGCAATTGTGGATCTTGCCCAAACATTAAAAGATATGGCGATTCACCCGTAGACTGATGTGGGGTAGTGTTGTAGGAGAAAACCAGTTGAGGGAGATATGCTGCCCAGTTCTTCTTCTTGCAAGACGGTAGAGTACGCAGCAGATTGTGCAGAGTGCGATTAAATCGCTCGCATTGACCATTTCCAGTAGGATGGGCTGGGGTGGTCCGACTCCGTTCAATGCCATACAATGCACACAACTGATGAATAAGGGTGCTTTCAAAGTTCCTCCCCTGATCCGAGTGGATGCGACTGGGAACACCAAACTTGTAGAACCACTCATGTACCAACACCTTTGCCACCGTAGAAGCTCTCTGGTCACGGGTAGGTACAGCCTGGGTATATTTAGAAAACACATCCGTCAGCACAAGAACATTCTCCATTCCGTTCTGTGATGGTTCAATCAGGGTGAAATCAATGGCCAGAATTTGATTAGGCTTTGAAGCCAATAAATGACCCATATAGGTCTGCACTCGAGGGAAAACATCCTTGGCAACAGTACAGCGTTCACATTGGTGGCACCAACGCTTCACATCCTCACTCATACCTGGCCAGAAACACCTTTGTCTCACCAGCTCTGTTGTACGTTCCACGCCCTGATGGCCATGCTCATCATGAAGCTGCTGCATCACTATAGTCTTCAACGATGTTGGGAGCAAGAGCTGAAGAAAGGCCTCGCCGCCCTGGGAATGGTGACACTGACGGTACAACACACCATCCTTCACTTGTAATCGTTTCCACTGTTTCAAGAGTTTACCTACATCAGCACACAATCCCTGCTGCTCTTCACGTAACGGGTATCTCCCTCTCCTCCACAGCTTCAGGAATTCTCCCAATACTGCATCTGCCTCCTGTAGCTTGTGTAAATCTGCCGCAGAATAGCCAGGGAAAGCGGTAATGGATGCTTGTACGCCTCTCTGAGGTCTGATAGAAGCGACTTGTTGGAGGGACTTTGGCAGGGAACTTCCCGGAATCATATTCTCAAGCACAGGTCCAACAGGATGCTGTCGGGAGAGTGCATCGGCATTCCGATTACTTCGTCCAGAACGATACCTAATGCTGAAGTCAAAAGCAGCGAGTTGTGCAGCCCACCTTTGTTCTAGAGCACCAAGTTTAGCGGTATTAAGGTAACTCAGAGGATTATTATCAGTGTAGACCACACACTTCTGTCCCAGTAAGTACTCACGAAATTTCTCAGCCATTGCCCATTTAAGGGCAAGAAATTCCAATTTCATGGAACTATAATTGGACATGTTCCTCTCCGAAGGCCTCAAACCACGACTGGCATAGGCTACTGGTCGAACTCTGCCCTCCTGCTCCTGCGACAGAACTGCTCCCAATCCGCTATAACTGGCATCGATTTCTAAGATAAATGGCAAAGAGAAGTCAGCGTACGCCAACAGGGGAGCACTCACCAACCGTTGCTTTAGGGCATCAAAACTTCGCTGACAGTCCTCTGTCCAAACCTCCACACAGGACCGGGCTGGGCCCTTCCTCTTAGCTCCGGACAGGTCAGCTACTAAGCGATGAAGCGGGGCAGCCAGTTTTGCAAACCCCTCCACAAACCGTCTGTAGTAGCTGGCGAAGCCAAGAAACGACCGAAGTTCTGAAACCTGTTGTGGAGGCGGCCAATTAGCAACTGCCTCAATTTTCTTCGGATCTGTACCCACCCCTTGGGCAGTAATCAAGTGCCCCAGGTAGTTCACCTCAGACTGAAAGAACGAACACTTCTCCAATTTGACCTTCAAGCCTTCCTGTTGTAGACGCTTCAGGACCACCTCCAGCCGCTGCAAATGCTCAGACACTGAGGAAGAGAACACGATGACATCATCTAGATAAAGCAACAAAGATTGAAAATGCTGCGAGCCAAACATGCGCTCCATCAGTCTCTGAAATGTACTAGGTGCATTGCACAGGCCGAAGGCCATCCTATTCCACTCATATAACCCAAAAGGGGTGCAGAAAGCAGTCTTCATCCTGTCCTTCTCAGCCACGGGGACCTGATTATAGCCACTAGCAAGATCCATTGTTGTGAACCACCTGGCACCTGAGAGAGCGTCCAAGGACTCCTCAATTCTAGGTAATGGAAATGAGTCCTTTCTGGTCTTACTGTTCAGTTGACGATAATCAACGCACATTCGCAGGCTACCATCCTTTTTTTTCACTAGGACAATGGGAGATGCATAGGGGCTACTACTCTCTCTTATAATTTGATTTTCTAGCAACTGATTAATATGAGCCTTAACGGCTTCGTATTCTGAGGGAGGAATACGTCGGTAACGCTGTCTAACTGGAACCTCATCAATCAGGGGAATATCATGTGTGATCAAAGAAGTACAGCCCAAATCGCTGTCATGTGCTGAAAACACAGAAGAGTACTGAGATAATAAAGCCCTGACCTCACACTGTTCTTCAGGGGTCATTGGAGACAGATCCAGAGAATCTATCTTGTCTTGTATGGGACCTAAAGTCATCTGAGAAGAGATTGTGGCCTGTACACTCAGGGGAACATCCTCTACACCTTGGGGTAAACTTACCACAGTTACTGGACTAATGGTACCAAGAACGGTTCGTCCATAGAGGTTAACATCCACTACTCCTACATTAATTACAGGAATATAAACCTGTCCCCGAACTACCTTAACAATGGCAGGGGAAGTCAGAAGACCAGCTGCTAACCCACCACTAGAAGGCTCAAATACTACCGTCAACCCTGTATGTTGCTGAGAACAAGTGGCTGCAATAAACTTCATGGTACCACCAGGCATCCGAATACACCTACCTCCTCGAACCCGAACTCGGGCCGGAGAATCTGAAGGGGCCTGAACTTGAACTTGATGGCACTTCTGTAGGGCTTGTTGCCAAGGATTAGGGGCCTGCTGCACTAAAGTGGTTTCAAAGAGAGTCGGCCCATACTGCCCAAACAATTCATGATAACATTCTCGAATAACATTCATGCCCAAAATACCAGAGACCTGAGTAGAAGTACCTGGACAATCTTTAACTATGAGCACGCCACGTTTAGGAATCACTTTACCAAAGACTTCCACATCCAGTTCCAAATAGCCTATATAGGGAATATCTAAGCCATTGGCAGCCTTAAGCTGCAACCAATGACATGAGTGAAGTTTTTCTAAACCCCAGGGCTTAAAGTTCTTCAAATAAAAACTTTCAGTCACCGTCGACACCATGGAGCCAGTGTCTAACAAACAGGGGACTAAGACCCCACCAACATTAACGGTCACGTGGGGGCATGGTGACAATAAAGGGGTTGTGTGCTCTACATCAGGAAAAACAGCATCTGAGCCAAACACATACCCTTCTGAACTGTGGCTCAGGAGCACAGAAGGTTCTAGTTTTCCTGAAAGCTAACAGAGGGCTGGGGCCGTAACACTTCTGGCTGTAGGTGACGTAAGGTGGTGGGGTTACCCCTTGATGACCAATTTTGAGAAGTACATTCACGGGCAAAATGGCCAGGCTGTTGACACTTTCTACAGATAACTGAACTCCTATTAAAAGTACTTGAAGGCACACTTGGGGCATTTTGAAGTGAAGTCACATTACGGGTTAACTGATCGAGCTGCTCTTGCTGCTTTTTAAGCATCTCTTTTAGCTCCTGTAATTCTGAGCTTGAAGCTGGCGCTGACCCATAAACCCCATACTGCAGCCCATAAGTAGAAGAGGTTGATAGACTACGATCCCTGGTAGACCTGGCTATACCCTCACGTTCCCATCTAATGGCTTCCCCCCGAACATCAAGTAAGGTAGCCCTAGGGTTTTGGCGTACTAGCTGTTTCAATTCCCTTCGAAGGGCAGAATCTAAAACATACTCAACAAATTGGTCACGCAAAAGAACCTCAGAATTAGGCATACCATTTGGAGCATTTTTAATTACCTTTGACATCAAGCCAAAAAGAGCATGTGAAAATTCCTGAAGTGTCTCCCCCTCTAGCTGTCGTCGAGAGAAGAAACTCTCCTGCAAAACAATATATGAATCCGGGCAGCCGTACAGCTCGGTAAGTATTTGAATAACTTTATCTGGATCTTCCCGGTCTTCACTAGGCCTAAATTTTATTTCCTCCCTAGCTTCCCCCTCTAAATGGTCATACAGGAAGTGTGCTTTGTCAATATTGGATAAGTGGCGAAGACGCATACTGGCCTTCACTTCCTCTAGCCAATCAGCCAAAGAAATTCCGGTGCGCCCTCTAAAAACAGGACATTTCCTCTCCCTAGGGACATAAATTAACCTTTCCGTCACCACTGAATTGCCATTGGAGGAAGACCTTGGGCCCGTATCAGGTGCCGCCCCCCTATGATTAGACTCAGAGGGCACCACACTAGGACTTGCCTGGACCTCAGAACGTTCTTGCCGCAGGCGTTCATTATCAGCCTTAAGTTCGGCCACCAAGTCTCGCAATTGCTGCATCTCATCCTCCATAGTGACAGTCTAAATGACAGAAAACACAAGAGAGAGGAAAGTACAAGAACTCTAATGCGCTAGCTGCTGTTTTTTTGTTGTTGTTTTTTTTACAAAAAAAAAACAAATTAATATCACACAAAAAAACAAAACAAAAAAACATTAAAGTCACGTCTTGCTTTACACGCCAATCGATAAAACCCTGCCGGCTGCGCCAAGATTGTAACCCTTGGCTAAATGTATTACAAAACTGACTACGCCACCTAGGTTACTTCTCCACCCAGGAAAGTAAAAAAAAATAAACCCCAAAGGAATTACAAAAATGAGAAGGACCCTGCTGGTTCAGATGGCGTCAAAGACAGAGACGTGACTTCAAAAGTATACAAAGTTTATTTTGTACGAGGGACATTAATTTTAAAACATCTAAAAATAGGTCTCATACACAATTACCAATTAAATACCCACAGCAAATAAGAGACCGTAATTCATCCGCAATAGCTGAAGAGACAAACCACACAACAATCAGTGAACAAAATCAAAGCAAGTGATAAACAATTCAAAAGAAACCAAACAAAAAAAAGCAAATACACTCTCCTCTTCAGCTAAGCCTCATATCACAGGTCAACTCATTCACATGTGGACATACCTGGCAAATACAGTGTTCAAGATCAAAGAAAGGAAAAAAAAGAAAGAAAAATACATCAACACAATTAATCTTTAAAATTGTTCCGGCTGCTGTTACAGACCAAACTTCTCGTTGTTCTAGTTCACTTTAATAGTCCATATAAAACACGCATGCCCAATAATTCAGCAACCTTCATACAGACCAGTCAGGGCAGAGATTGTGGAAGAGCTCGGTCACTACAGCGGTTCGAAACCGCAAACGTCCAATCACTACAGCCAGCCGACAAACAGCGACACCACGAGTATAGAACCCCTAAGAAAACAGCAGCTAGCGCTCTGGACCACACCTCAAAGTGAAAGATCAATTAGGCTACAGTAAGCTTTATGCAACCTGCGCTCGCCACTGCACGCACATCCCTAATGACAACACATATTTAGACGGTGATCTATAACTGGAGAAGAGCAATAAGTCAAAGGACTCACCAGGGAATAGCTACAGGAAATATCACCATTTAGACTTTTGTTACACGCAGTACGGAGAAGAATGACAATGGTGCCTTTAGACAAACTTTTTATAGAGCCACCGGGACCCAACAAACCTCCCTAATTGAGCCACACAGGTGTATTCAATATCGTGCCGTGGCTCAATTCCGCTGGGCGTGTCTTCCCATTAAAACAACTCAGAAACTCTTAACCGGTCACACAAGAAAAACTATATTAGTCTTTAAAATATCCTCAATAAAAAGGACTGCTATTTAAAAAATAACATCAACATAAGCACTAATATACAGACTGACACGTTTTACTGTCAAATAACACAAGGCGATCCCAGACAAACTAAATGTGTGTCACTATTTTTCTCTCAGTGGCCATTTTTAGCTGTCCCAGAATTCAATGGGCTCCCACCCTTGACCATAATTACACATTACTCCTTGGGTTTATGCATGGGCGTTCCACATTATTCGGTCATGTGGATGTTTTTGCCTCTTTATTTGCCAAACTGCAAACAAAAGAAGAAAAGTCTTCAGAATTTGCTGCATTATGTCAGTTGTGTAAATTAAGCACAATGATTGTAAACGAAACAAAGATAACAGATCTGTTCTATTTGAGGGAAATGCATTGATTGTAGTTTCAAATTCAGTTTAAATATATTTGCTTATCAATAATACAAATATTTTTCTTTTATGTCAGGTGAATATTATTCAGAATATCTCGAATGTACTATACAACAACTTTTCAAGGACATGAGATTCAGCATTATTAAATGTCCTGGCCTTGAATCCTAGATTAACAGCCTCATCCTTGCAAACTGTCAGCTAAACAAGTGCTGGAAAAGAGTATACACCGAAGAATACAATAACAGATTTTTTATTTTTTTTCAATATATGGGTTAATCTATTACACTGTAAAATAATATTATTGGTTTAACTTAAAAAATTAAGTAACCTGGTTGCCTTAAAATTTTAAATTCATTGAAATGGAAATATTTAGTCAATACAATGAAGGAGATTGATTTAATCATCAGAAACTCAAATTATTATGTTACCTGAACCACATAAATTAATTTGATATGGCAAAAGAAAAAATGTTGTGATTACAAATCATGAACATATTTTTTTACAGTGATGGTAAAAGCATTCTTTGGAATCATGTGGTTGTATTTCTGATATGCTTTGTTTGTTATACTTGGCAAAAACACATTAAATATTTTGCCACATTTATCCATCTTTATGAAACCCTCGGCAGATGATTTTCAGCATGTCGGTACTGTTCTTAGTTCAGTGTGATCCTTCACATAAACACGACATTTACATGATACATGATGAAACACACTTTATTTGGTGCACAGATCCACCATTATACCGCCAACAACCCAGTGCATCCGGAAGCCCGAAGTGAATAGTGTAGAGGGGAAATAACATGTTACAATCTCCCTATACTTTAAACAAAAAAACAACAAAAATATAAATAAAACTGTTGAATATGATGTTTTATTTGACAAGGTTCGGGAGGAGCAGGTACAGATAATTAACCCAATCAGCACAAGTGGAGATCAAGCAGTAATGTTGACAGTTCCTTGACAGTTTCTCAGCGTCCCATCTCCACCCCATCTCCTCACCTTTAGTTCCATCTTCTCTGACCAACGGGGGGAGTGCTCTGGGTTCGGGCAGAGATTTCGAGCAAGGAGCCCTCCACCCAGACTGCATGCTAAGTACGCATAACCTTTACCATAATAATTATATGTAGGTGAAATCGTGAAATCTAAAGACTTTATCTCGTTAATAGACTGGACTGTAGCATCTTTTATATTTGATACTAAGCTGCTTGCATCAAACTTAATGTCTGGTTTGTTTTGCAACCCAAAGAATCTGTCCTATTTTTGACCTAAGCTTCTTTTTTCAGTCTCATTAAAGGGGACCTATTAGGAGACAAAGTCTTGATTTTGTCTTTGGGGTGTACTAGAATATGTTTTCATGCTTGATTGTTCAAAAAAACGCATTCTTTTTCACATACTTTACATGATTACAGCTCCCCTCTCGCCAGTCCGGTTGAGCGCATCGTTTTCAAAGAGCCCCTCCGAGGAAATGATTGGCACATGTTCAGGAAATGTCACACCTCAGATATAAAAATTAATTTGATATGATAAAATATGAATGTCAATTTTTTAAACCATTTTGAGCTTGATTGAGACACTGACAATGTTAAAGGATTGTGCTGAACAGATTTCAAGCACAGACTTTGCAAGCATAGATTTCACAGGCCGTTTCAGAGTGGTACAGTTTGTTTTTTCATAATAGATAGGATGTTATCCACCATTTAATCATATTTGTCTAAAAAGTATTTTAATACTTAAAAAAACAGTAATCACAAGATCACAAAATCATGGATCGGTGGTGGAGCGGTGAACAGTCTTACAAAAGATAATTGCTAATCATGATAATAGCAAATTGTCTGAATCTGTCTAGATTCGTGCAAATAATGCACAACCATGTCTATCTGTTTCCATTAAAAAAATATAAATTAATTAAAAATACTGTTTCACCAGTGGAAAAGATATTTTACACTATTTGATTAATTTATTGAAAAACAAAGCGAGGATATAGGCTACTAAATATATATATATATATATATATATATATATATATATATATATATAATTTAATGTGATCAGGTTGGCATTTCATAATATTCCTAACATCTTGTACCTTTAAACATTGAATCACGTGGATGAATAATGATATGCAAATGATATGTAGATATGTCAAATGTCATTGGCCAAAGGGTTATTGCAGCCCGTTCTCATCCTTTAGCGTCACATAGTACGCTTTATGACAAAACGGCGCTATACTACGCACAAGGTACCCTTTATCGTTTATATAACACGCGAACTCAAGGCGTCATAAATCCTTTACCGTAATATGAGACTACCCTATACCTACCACACACCTAAACCTACCCATCACAGCGCGTGTTACATAACAGCCCATTCTCACCCCCAAGGCGTCACTTAACTGACGCCTTGGGAAGCATTTGGACATGCTTCAATATCTGACGCTTTAGGCGCCCTTTAGCGTCAGTAAGATGACACCCTAGGATCGCGTGTACCCTACCCCCACCCCACACCTAAACCTAACCGCGTCCTCTAACTGACGCTTTCCTTTAGCGTCAGTTAGATGACGCCGTAGGATCGCGTCATGTAAGTGACGCTAAAGGGCGCCTAAAACGTCAAATATTGAAGCATGGTCAAAGGTGACGCCTTGGGGTGAGAATGCGTTGTACATAAACGATAAAGGGCACCATGTGCGTAGTATAGCGCCGTTTTGTCATATAGCGTTCCTGAGGTTGCTGCTCCAATGCGGAAGGAATGACTGGAGAAATTCTCTGCTGGGATGCCTGAAAGTTGGAGAACAGATTTTAGGTGTTTTTGGAAGCAAAAGCGTGTCACAGGTTTGTTAGAGTCGTCAATGAACAGGGGTTCGAGAGGGGATTTAGCATGAGAGTTTCTTAGTTGTATAGTTTGGAAGCTCGTATAGTTTGGAATGGTTGAATTGGTGACGAGAGGTTAAAAAAATATATATGAAGTGGCCTTTTTTGGTTTGGTCTGTTTTGCTTTGTTTAATCAGAAAAGAGATTGTTTCGCTGTCTAGCACTGAAAGATCTGAGATGTTTGGGTGGATTTTTGGGTTGAATCTGGAAGTGATAGCCAGTTCAGACTACATGATTTTAAGCCCGATTTATGCCCGATTTGCAAATCGTTGAGCTAACCGACAGGTCAGGGTGTTATCGCGTGCAAATCGCGGGGGATTAGCGGACGATGAACGCTTGCCAATCTGTTAGTATGAAAGAGCCAACAACGCAGCGAAAACGCTCGCAGACGCCTCGCAGACACGTCGCCAAGCCCAGAAAAATATCTAGCCTTCTAGATATCCAGAGCCGTCGGGCGACTCAAACAGAGTGATGTCATGAGTACAGCCAATCATAGCAACGCATGGGTTGAGGACATCAGGTAAATCTTAGTTTTTCTTTTTTTTTTGTTGCATTTTTTTTTCCTCAGAGCAGATCGTCGCGCAGACAGTGTGCAGCACTAGTTTCTGTTTGACGTCCATATTCACGTGTTTTGTTCTCTTCTTCGCTGGGTATTGGCACAATATCTATTTATTGCGTGTTTTTTCGTGACAAAACGGGGTTTGTAGACAAGATAGAATCGTTGGGTGACAGAGTTGTTGTTAACTCGTTATTTATTTGATTATTTTCCAGCCCATTCTCACTCCCAAGGCGTCACCTAACTGACGCCTTGGGAAGCATTTGGACATGCTTCAATATCTGACGCTTTAGGCACCCTTTAGCGTCAGTTAGATGACGCCCTAGGATCGCGTGTACCCTACCCCCACCCCACACCTAAACCTAACCGCGTCCTTCAGCAGACGCTTTCCTTTAGCGTCAGTTAGATGACGCCCTAGGATCGCGTCATGTAAGTGACGCTAAAGGGCGCCTAAAACGTCAAATATTGAAGCATGGTCAAAGGTGACGCCTTGGGGTGAGAATGCGTTGTATTTTCAGGATTTAGACCATAACATAGTACAGAAACAGCTCTCATTGAGTCACAAATGATTTGCTCTTATCATCCAATCGTGGTTGTATCTCTATGTAGTGCGTGTCAAGTCCCCTCCTGTTCAACTTCCAAAGGACACAAGGACAACTCAAATTTCCAACTCAATCACTTTTATTTTGGCTTTGTCAGGTGATTGTTCTGTTCAGCAAATTAGGTTGTAAACCATTGGCATCTTTGGACTGAACATATGAGTAACTTGGAGCCTCTTCTCTCTGAAGTTTGTTTTCCTGACAGACTGAGAATCTCCATGCCTTTTCAGGTGTTTCAAATCAGTGTTAATGACGATCAGGTGACAAGCAGCCGGTTTGCTGCTGCTGCTGGTGGTGCACTCTGGGAAGTGTAGTGTTCCACTCATCAATGATTTTGTTGGTGAGTTTTATGGCTGCCCCTCGCTCGACCATTTCATGGATCTGGGTAGCATATGCGACTTTCCAGTCTGGCTCTCTGTTTAGTTGCTTTTCCATCCTTAAGAAATAAGTCTGGACTGCACCTTTGTTGTTTGGGAGAGAGGCTGGATCTACTGTCCAAGGATACTTTGCATCCCAATGTGGAGCTGGTGTGTGAGCATCCCCCTCCTTGTAGGTG